CAATGTCATGTTCGAACACCCGATAAGTTCAAGAACTGAACATATTTTTCCCATAAGAAATAACGGAAAACCGAGCAGTTGGCTCTGAGGTCCCAAAATGACACTTATACATTCATTCTTCCAGGACTTTAACACAAAGTTGACAGCCCTCGGTTGTGGAAATACCCCCCTGCAACATCTAAGCCCAATAAATAGAGCACATTACACATCAAAACACGATACAGTTACACAAATAAGATTACGATATTTTCTGCAAGTACAGCGTAAAAGAAAGCACACGATGAATGTGGTAACGTACCCACACAAGCACTGCACATTGTCCTAACGAGAGCAGGGCTTAGACTGGTGCCACCCACCTTTGTGTCTGCAGTGAGGCGCAAGGAGTAACTCCCTCGCTCCTGGCCCGGACAGGTGGTTCAGGTCAGATTATCCGTTCCACTGTCGAGCAGAGTTATAAACACCGAGCAGATTTGTGCTGAACTCTACTCTTGGCTTTTGGAGCCGTTCGACAGCCAAGGTATCCCTGTACCTACCTCACAGGGTTTTGACAAGACTGAAAAGAGGCATGAAAGGATGCAGAAGACCACACCACTTAGTACCTGGCCGGGCCTCAGCTCCCTGGGAGGTGCGTTAAACCAGCAGAGCACACAAGCTCCTTTTGCCTAGCGAGAAGGCCCATACTGCTCTGGTCCAACCGGGAGCCTACTGCCCACCTGCTGCCTCTCTGGACTACGCACATACCCAGGGCAACAGCTAAATGACCATCCAGCTGTCCGATGGCTGTACAACTTACTGTGCTGCAGAAATTAAGCAACTGTGAACCTACTCTCCCAGTATTTCTATTGATAAAGCCTCTCATCCTTTTTATTATTGAGAAACAGATTTCCCAAGATAAATTTTAAAAAACAGACTTACAATTCCTTGCACATCATTTGTCACTTTAAATGTCAAAGTTTTGCTTGGTTAGTAACTTTGCTGTGGAACCCATGCCGGCTTAGTGGGTTTTGTGTTGGGCTGTTAACTGTGAGATCAGCAGTTCTAAACCACCAGCCGCTCTTTGGAAGAAAGATGAGGCTTCCTACTCATAAAGGTTTACAATCTTGGAAACCCACAGGGGCAGTTCTCCTCTACCCAATAGGGTCACTAGAGGGTCCCAGTTGACTCTATAGCAATGAGGTTGTTTGTTTGTTTGTTTGTTTGTTTGTTTGTTTGTTTGTGGGGTTGGAGTACTTTTGCTGTTTTTACTGTGGCATTTACAAAAGCAAATACAGAGCTATAGTCATTGTTTTACTCGTGATTAGACACAGAACTGTGTTCGTGTCTGTGCACTGTGAGCCTCGGGCTGTGCAGTTCCTGTGGTAATGCAAAGAGACCTTGTTAAGAAGAACATTATTTCGATGTGAAGAGAGGGCTCCTGTTCAGAGCCCTTCAGAGAACACTGGGACGGGCAGAGTGCTGGGAGTTATGGACGTTGTACCTGGTGAATGAAGTTTGAAAAGCACTCACAAGGGCAGGGCTGGGCAGCCTTTTTTCTGCCAATGGCCATTTAGATATTTATAACATCATCCAAGGGACGTACAATATGATCAACTTAACAATTGGCCACTTATATTTTGGACATTTAATTAGCTCAGCCCTAATATGATGGCCGGGGTGGCTTCTTTTTGCTGAAGCGTGTGCTGTCGGCTGGCGGTGATGATTTGGGGGGCCTTACGCAGCCCATGAGCTGCACGTTCCTCATCCCTGCTCTAGATAAAAGCACCTCAATATCAAGAACAGGTCATCTCTTTGTGGGACCTTACGCAGTGGGCTTCCTGCTTCTCCATAAGTGTTTGAAGAAGTGCATATAAATGCCCCACAGCAGGGGCACAGAAGACTGAACCCCAGCAGGAGCTGCGTCTCCAATAGCGAGGGGCACGCAGGCAGTACAGAGAGGTGCTGTGGGCAGTCAGGACGAAAGCAGGCGGGGCCTTGCACTTGGCCAAAGCTCCGTGGCAAACATTGGGTCTGTCTGGCCAGTAGAACAGTCTGGGTTCAGGTGCTAGCAGCAGAAGGACGGCATGTCCTGTGGTCAGCAAGTCCCCGGCCTGCTCTGGAAGGTGCGATCTTATCCAGAGAATCACCGTTTTCTATCTGCATCTGAGCCTGCAGCTCCAAGCTTTATTTGCCCCTGTGCCCTCCCCCAGGGAAAAGGAGAAAAAGCGACAATATATAAACGCCGAGTGAGCATACTTCAAGCATTTGTATAAACACATCAACTCATTTAAGTCACAGAACAAGCTCATGATGCAGATACTGGTATTATTTGTGGGTTTGCAGGGGGTGGGGGCGGGGAATGTGGTAATTAAAGGCTGAGTCACTGACAGGGAAGTTGGTCCTGGAATCCACAGAGCACGTGGCCTACACCCAGAAAGGCAGTACATGCTTCACATCCCATTGCCCACGTTTCCACAGCAACGGGGTTTTAAAAAAAGTATTTTTGGTAATCCATGCCAACTAACACTTGAGGGGCATCTCCCAGATCCCTCCTTTTGAACTTGAAAGTGTTCTCCTGAATCCCCTTGGTCTGAGGGTCATTGTTCACCCTACACCTAACTGCCATCTCTTCCACTTTAGCAAAAGTCAGATAGACGCCACAGTGATGGGGTTCCAGGCTTGGAATTTAGATCCAAAGGAAGACCTGATTCCCTGTGGGGGAGCATAGGGGCAGAGTGGGGTAGGGAGGAGGAGAAATGGAGAGAATCCTCTTGATAGTCTAACAGTCCCCTCGGGGCGACAAGGCTTCCCAGATGACAAACTGATTTGTAGAAAGCCAGGTCAGTAGTCACGTCCTCCAAGAAATATCACTTGTACCTCTCAAAAGAGAGCAGGTGGCTGGGTGAGGCGCTGTCCTTGGCCAGCGTTCCACACAACCAGCCTGCGGGGCTCCGCCTGCCCAGGCCTTGGGCTTGTGTCTGACTGAGCCCCGGTAGTGAAGAGTGGGTACGGCTGAGATTGCAGAATTGGATTTGCAATCCAATTGACTAGAGCATTTCAATTTCAGCAAACGTTCACCGGGGCCCCGGCAGAGAGGACAGTGTACACCTGGGAGCACAGTGTACACCTGGGAGAGCTGAAGGCACCTGTGTTGGAGCCCCGACTGCCAGACAGGTGACCTGAGCTTGCCAGACCTGCCTCACCTTTTGACCTGACCCATTCTTGAGGCAGGTTGGCTAACAAAACATCCGGGCACTGAGGACTTCATGAGGCAGGAGACAGATGGGAACCTCATGTTCTGAACACTTAAAGGACAGTGATGGGGTGGAGAGGGCGCAGTTAATTTGCAGGAAACCTGAAGTGCACGGTGCTTTACAGGAGCAGCCTGGGGGGCTTTGGGAGAATCACACAGGATTCATTCCTCTGGATAGGAAACGCTTTACGCTACTTAGTGCACAGTCACCTTGTTACTTTTAGAATGTCAATCAGGACTTAACTACCCCAAACAAAAACAAAACTCTGTGCTGACTCACAGGTAGAACTGCCCCCGTGGGCTTCTGAGGGTATAACTTTTTGCAGGACCAGAGAGCTCCCACCTTTCTCCCAGAGAGCAGCTGGTGGTTTCAAACTGCTGACCTGGAGGATCGTAGCCCTACAGGAACCACTACATCACCAGGACTCCTAAGACTTAAATAAAGAGATATAAAAATTTAACATAAAAAATTACCTCCATAAATCTGTGCCAGATCGCAAGAAAACTGTTGTCGGCAGCCCACCCAGCTCTGAAACAAACGTAAGCCTGGAGTCCGCGCTGGGTGTGCTCATGCGTGCGCACTCTGACGCCCAGCCTGGCAAGGCTGTTTTGGATGAAAGCGGATGTGATTTGTGTATTTCCCCTACGGTATTTCTGCCGTTATTGAATCAGTTGGCTGTAGACATTCGGAGTCACCCATCATCCCCTTTCCCCGGGGACACAGACCACACACCCAGACGTAAGTTGTGTTCAGGACTGTCAGTGGTCACTAAACTTGAAGCTGGGATCTTCCAGGTGCCAGCTCTGGGTGAGCTATGCCATGTTCGCAGCTTAGAGAGCCCTTTGGGGCAGTAAAAGTCAGGGAAAGGCGATGTTTTCTGTACAGATCACCCCTGTGTGTCCTGTGTCAGCCTGCCTGCCAAGTACTCCCAGAAAGGGGCTCGCAGAAGTGGGTGCAGAGACAGGGGCATTAGCCATTCCAGTGCGTGTGTCGAGCTGGCCTGCCTCGGCGATGTCTGCCGAGGATTGGCTGGCAGTCAGCGGCTGGCATGACACAATTGGCTTGGCCGGGGAGTCACCCAAGAGAAGCAGCCCCTTGCGTTCCCTCACTGTGACTCAGGCTGCGCCGCTCAGCCGAGCCGAGGGACGGCGGTGGGAGGTGGTCAGGACACGACAGTTCCAGAGCTGCCGTCCTCACAGATGTTGCCCCTGCAAAGAGCCCTGCCTTCTCGCGCCTTTCCATCGGATGCCTGCGAGCCTCCGGAAGCCTCTGGGATTTTCTCCCAACGTGGTTGTTGCCATGCCAGCAGGAGGGATTCTGTAACGTGGAGGACCTCGGCTGCCAGGACGGCTGTGATGTATGGAGCCTTAGCACTTGCCTCGGAGGGTGTCAACGGCTCGCCTCTGAACGTGGAGTACAATTAAAAGCTGAGCTCTGGGAAGGATGGCATTTGCCAGCACCTCTGAATTGTGGGATGGTTGACGTGGGGCTGGGAAATAAACAACGCGCCCCCACCCCCACCCCCAAATGCTGTCTGTCTGTAGATAAGGACAAGTCCCACAACTTGCTGTCTGTCTGGGTGAGGCTGCCTGGATGCTCCCGGAGCGCTGCCGGCAGTCGGCTCGTGTGTGCGCGTGGCGGGGCGCTGGACCTTGCCCCCGGGATGCTCAGAGGAATCATTTTATGATGAGGTTTTCCTAGAGCAAACACAAAGCACCGCTCTCTCTGCCTGAGTGCATTAATTGCAGCTCTCTTCCCTCCTCGTTGTAGTTTGCAAGATGCTGGAATTGGATTTATCCTCGTCATAGACCGAAGGCAAGACAAATGGACCTCGGTGAAAGCGTCCGTCCTGCGCATAGCAGTAAGTGGCCCTGCCCCTGGGGGAGTCTGGGACGGGCTCAGCGGTGCTCCTCCCGGGTTAGGGAACTGCAGCCCTGCTCTACAGCATCGCCGCTGCCCGTGTGGCCTCTGCCTTTTGATGCTGCAGCAGCGCGCCTGCAGGATGGGTCTGTGCTAGAGTGGGGAGCACCAACTCGGAGGGGGGGAGGGGGAGGCAGAGTGGAGGAGACACCTGGGAGCCTAAATCTCCTTGTGTTTCTTGAATGACATCGCAGATCTGTTTGTCTGTTTGCTCAAATGGGCTAACTGTTAAAGGGGCCCCTTATAATTTGCAAGCGATTTCACTTTTCTAGCTAGGACGCCAGCTTCTGTCTGGATAGTGATCCTGTGAGATCCCCAAGCTTTTAACATTTCTTCACCCCAGGCTTTTAGCATCTGTTCATCCCCAATTTTAATACTGATGCACCCTTAAATTCTGAATGCAGAGGACACGGCGTGCTTCCGAGCATCTGCAGGCTACATGTTTCAAATAGATTGTTTTCCCTTCTTCTTAGTGGCTTTCTCCTTTCTAAATAAAGCTATTTATTCTCTTGTGATCAGGCTAAGCCAGGGAGTCCAGGCTTCCCCCATAACCCATTTCAGAATGTAGGAACTTCATTACCAGGGAATTTTATGTTTACATCTGTAAAGTGAATGTGCACGTTGCAGGCACTGCCCTCCACAGCAGAAAATTAGCTGTCTGGTTATTGTTTGGGTTTTTTCTTTGTTGTCAGCCCCAAGTCATAATTTAAGGGGGGCTAGATTAAGGCAGCAGGGGCCCTGGGGTCCTGTAATAGTCAGTAGCTTCTGCCCCACCCACGGCCAGGAGAGGCGGGTGGGCGGGCTGGCAGCACTTCTCACCAATCTTGAGTTTTGCCCACGTTCGCTCGCCTAGCCTGTCAGCTGGGACTTGACAGCAACCCAAGAACTGAAAGCGAGTTTCACTGTCGCCAGCTGATGACCCTGGAGCGGCGGTGGCATGTTGGGTCTTAGCTGAGATGATAGCTCAGTGTCTCTGGCAGAGTTCTGAGAAACTGAGCCCCTGGTACAGGGTCTCCCCTTCCCCTCTTCCTCTCCAAAGCCACCTTTGAGTGGCCTTCGCCTTTCAGAGGTCAGCGGCTGCTGGCTGAAGGCTCGGTGTGGCGTAGAAGAATCTGCCCCCTTTCCCACCCACTGCCCCTGGTGTCATCTGTAGCAGTTTGGGAGTGCTCAGGAGTACCTGCGTTGGCTCCGACACTGTGCATCTGTGGGTGCAAACCTGCCCCCAAGCTGCAGTGTCCTCATCAGGGTCGCCCTGATGTAAAGGCCCCCCTCGCACCAGCCCCTCTTGCATTTTCTTTGCTATGTCTTTTGGGAGTTTGATCCCCTCGCTGAAATTGACTCCGCCATCCTGAGCAACGTCCCGTCATAGAGCTTTCCTGAAACAAGTCCAAATACATCACTAGGCACGTTACATAACTGCATTTCCTTTGGCTGGAAACGCCTCTGAAGTTTCCAAAGTGATTTTGATGAACCATCAGCCGTCAAGAGCCCCAGGGTCCATGTAATCACCTTAAGGTTGACAACCGCTTTGTACATGACATTGTGGCCGACAGAATTCAACATTAACAGAAATGCCCCCTCCCATGTCAGTCACATGACAGATATTCCTTGAATCAGTCAGTCCTGGGTTGGATACCAAAAAGGACCCGTCAGATATATCCTTATTTTTTTAAGGTAATACTGTTACAATAACAGTTTTTAGAATCACTTTATTGGGGACTATTACAGCCCTTATAACAATCCATACATCAATTGTATCAAGCACATTTGTATATATGTCGCCATCATAATTTTCTAAACATCTTTGCTGTTTGAGCCCTTGGTATCGCTCCTCTTTGGGCCTTCCTTCCCCACCTGCCCACCCTACAGTAACATTTCTAAGAGTCAAAACGCTCTATCCACATGCTTTGACGTTTCTCTAGCATTGGTTTAAATGAACTGTTGGAATAGTTTATGAAATCGCGGAGACAGTAGGAGCCGACCTCTTTACCGTGGCATTCAGCGGCCCTCAGGACCAACCTCGGCCCTCTCATTTTGCTCCTGGGAAGCTAGGCATTTGTAGCGTCTCATCACTGCCCAGCGTGCTTCCTGCACCCGTGCACACACTTCCTCTCCTTAAGATGCCCATCACCCAACAGCCACCAGGCAAACTTCTACTCGTCCTTCCACACCCTACCCAAATGCCCCTCCTCAGGGAAGCCTCCCCCAGCCATCCTAGCCCGAGCCAGTTGCTCCGCTCCCTGAGCCTCCGACTCCATTTCTACCTTCTTAAATCACATGGTAGTTATGATTTATTTGCATAATATGAGTTCCTTGAAGGCAAGACCGGGCCCTATTTATCTCTGTGTTGCCAACACCCATCCCAGTGCCAGACGCCTGTTGAGATCACTAGTTGTTCCTGGCTTAGGTGGCAAAGGGTTCCCCAGGTACACCATTGTTTTTAAGATATAAAGAACTAATTTTTTTTTTTAATGAAGTAATCCCGTGAACTCACCCTACAGGAAGCAATCTGGTGTGTGGCAAACCTCCGCGGGTGTAGGGTTTGAGCTTTCAAGATGCCAAATATAAATGGAGTTCGATTCGTCATCAAGTTCAGGGCCAGACGAATGTCTGAAGAGCGCTGGCTCATGAAGATCGTAGCTGAGAAATGAGCATTGGTGCAGCGGCATTGCTAGGAAGGGTGCAGGGGGCGGGGGATTAAGCCCCACCAGGTGGCACTGTCAACAGGGGTCAGCACCAAATTCCTGTTGGTAAAATGTGTATGCAGTGCTTCTGCAGAAAAGTCATTCTTTTTCAGTAAAAATAACTCTCCAGTTAGTTATAGCAACAAAAACACTGTCCACCAACCCAACCTTTTGACTATACCTACAAGGCTGCACTCTATGCTGATGTACATTTTGAACCTTGTATTTGTGCACTGGTCAGGGCTGTCACAGGGTTTCGACTGCACCTGTGATGGACACATGTGCTGCTACTGTTGCTGCCAGTGTTTCCATGTCACCGATTTTAGTGATGGTTCTGTTGCCTTTTAACTACACTTTTGGAACAGGAGCCCTGGGAGTGTAGTGTGGCTGCTAACCACAGACAGCAGTTTGCAGCCACTGGACTCTCCATGGGAGGCTCTCCACTCCCTTAAACACTTCGCCTTGGAAACCCACAGGGGCAGTTCTACTTGGTCCTTAAAGGTTCACTCTGAGTCAGAATCCACATGACACGAGCGTGTTTGAGTTTTGATTGTAACAAAAGGAGCCCTGGTGGCGTGGTAGGTTACACATTGAGCCGCTAGCCTCAAGGCCAGCAGTTTGAGTCCACCAGCTGCGTCTCGGGACAAAGACAAAGCCTTTGACTCCCATAAGGAGTTCCGGCCTCAGAACCCACCGGGGCTGTTCTCCATCCTGTAGGATCGCTGGCAGTCAGAATCCATTTGATGGCAGTGAGTTTGGTGTTTAGAGTTTCGTTGTAATAAGTAGTGTTTGTGAACTGATATCAGTAACTGTTTTTGAGAAAAAAGTAGTAATTAAAGGAAAGGGAGGAAAATCAAAAGGGGTTTCCACTCAGTTTAATTATGCTCAGTTTAATTAATGCGGCAAGTCAATGTAGAAAGATTTCACAACATGATTTTGTGGTTGGTATTCATAAAATCTCAGAAGTCCACTCAAGCAATTTACAACTAGATCCCTTATTGTTCTGTTATGAAAATTGCTGATAAACATGACTCCGGATTCCACATGGTGGGGTCTGGGAGGCGGTCCTTGGAGGGGGCAGCGAGGACCACTATGAGCTGCTGCCCTGAGTGACCCCACTGTGCTTCAGGTTTCCTTGTTGCCTTGAGTCCTACCGATGGCTGGGCCTCCATGCCCCTCCTGGCAACCCTGCGGGACAGAGGAGAGCTGCCCCTCGGGGTCCAAGGGGGAGCCTTTGATGGGTTCCAATGGCCAGTTTCCCAGTTCACAGCTGAGCACTTGTTCTCTGTGCCACCAGGCTCCTTGCATCCTTTCCTACACCTTAAGAATGAGTGTTCTGTTTAATCCGGCGTTCATTCATTCTCTGGGTTCACCAAGACTGGTTGGGAAAAGCAGAAGTTGTTTTTCCCAAAGAATCGTCAAAACTCTCTTGGGACTCTAGTGGGTGTTTTAGTTGTAAGAGTAGCCATGCTCCTGATGCCCCAAAGCCTGGTGGCACACTGGCAAAGCCCTCAGCTCCTATCTCCAAGGTCAGCGGCTCCACAGGAGAAAAAGCCAGTTTTTCTATTTCTGTGAAAGACAGTTTTCTATTCCCCTAAACCTTATAGCCTAAGAATTCTACAGAGAAGTTCTACTCTGGCCTGCAGGGTCATTGGGCACTGGAATCAACTCAGCATTAATACCAAAGACTTCTACTTGTGTCGTTACCACATTGACTGAGACCCTATTGTGAGCCAGGCGCGGTGCAAGATATTGAGGATATACCGGGGTGGCTTTGGGGGTGGGGGGAGTGTAAGCAATAAATATACAGCTCGGTGGGGGATACAGACAGTTGTACCTTGTGATGAGATAAACATATAGGAGCAGCACCTAAGGCCGAATGAAGAATGGTGTCTATTGCCATTCTTTGTGCTCGTGCCCACCTCCCAGTTGCGAGTATGATCCCCGTCAGAGGGAGTTGGCACCCTTTCCGAATCTCCCGCATCTCGGAAAGGGCCCAAGCACCCAAACAGCAGACCCAGTGCCGTGGACTCCATTCAGACTCAGGGTGACCTATAGGGCGGAGTATCAATGCTGTTTGGGGGCTTCTGAGACTTTACATCTTACGGGAGCGGACAGCCTCATCTTTCTCCCGTGAAGTGACTGGTGGGTTCAAACTGCGGATCTTCCAGGTAGCAGTTCACTGCCTCACCCACTACGATACTAAGGCTTCCGAGGCGAGGGCCCAGTAGGTGCTTAATACACGTTTGGGGAACTT